GGTGAGATCAGGGGTCTTCTGGAAACAGGGGGACCCCAGGACTTGGGGTGGGGTTTGGGGGGGTCTGGGGGTCTTTGGGGTCTGGGATAAGCGGGGTCAGGGGGGGCTGGGATCTGAGATCTGGGATTTTGGAGGGGGATCTGGGGGAAACGGGGATCCTGGGAGCTGCGGTGGGTTTGGGGGGTCAGGGATCTGGGGTCTGTGGGGATCCAGTGGGATCTGGTGGGACCTGGTGAGCTCAAATGGGGCCCAGTTGGATCTGTTGGGATCCGGTAAGATATAATGGGACCCAATTTGACCTGGTGGGATCTGATGGGATCCAGTGGGGATCTGATGGGATCTGGTGGGACCTACTGGGACCTGGATGGATCTGGTGGGATCTGGTGGGATCCAATGGGACCCGGTTTGACCTGTTGGGACCTGGTTGGATCTGTTGGGATCCGGTGGGGATCTGATGGGACCTGGTGGGACCTACTGGGACCTGGTTGGATCTGGTGGGATCCAATGGGATCCAATGGGACCCGATTTGATCTGGTGGGACCTGGTTGGATCTGGTGGGATCTGGTGGGATCCAATGGGACCCGGTTTGACCTGGTGGGATCTGATGGGACCTGGTGGGATCTGATGGGACCTGGTGGGCTGCAGTGGGGCCCAGTTGGATCTGTTGGGATCCGGTGGGATCCAATGGGAGCCGCTCTCTGCGCACAGGCAGCAACATGCTGATGGTGGGGGTGCACGGCCCGAAGACGCCGTGCGAGGAGGTGTACGTGAAACACGTGGGGAACCGGCTGTACAACGTCACCTACACCGTGAAGGAGAAGGGAGAATACGTCCTCATCCTGCGCTGGGGCGACGACAGCGTCCCGGGGAGCCCCTTCAGGGTCACCGTGCCATGAGGGCGTTTGGGGTGAAAAAAAGGGCAGAATTGGGCAAAAAGAGCAACAAGAGTGAGAATAAAAACACTGGGATTGCAGTGCGAGTCGTGGTCATTCGGGGGCAGGGATTTGGGGGGGGG